CTTGTTTATTTTCAAAGTTATCTACAATGAGAATTCCCTTAATGATTATTAACAGTAAGAATTTAAGCTGGGGGGGCTGAGAAGGTGGCTCAGTGGTAGAGCGCTTGCCTTGCACGCATGAGGCAAGCACCACATAAGCAGAAAAAAAAAAGCTGGAAGTGGTGCTATGGCTCAAATGGTAGTGTGCTAGCCTTGAGCTGAAGAACAGCGCCCAGGCCGAGTTCAGGCCCCACGACCGGACCCTCCCCTCCCCCCCCAAAAAAAAAAAAAAGAATTTAAGCTGGGCACTGGTGGCTCAGGCCTGAAGTCCTAGCTACTCAGGAGGTTGAGATCTGAGGATGTGGTTTGAAGCCAGCCGGGGCAGGAGAGTCCCCAAGACATTTATCTCCAATTAACCATCAGAAAACTGGAAGTTGCGCTGTGGCTCAAAGTGGTAGAGAGTGCTAGCCTTGAGTGAAAGAGCTTAAGGACAGTGCTCAGGCCCTGAGTTCAAGCCCTATGACCAACCAAAAGGAAAAAAAGAATTAAAAAAATTTCCCCTAGAGAAACATAATAGCTTAACTCCCACAGCAGGGCCACACAATACCTTTAAGCAGATTTCCCTCAACTGTGCTCTGACTTCAGCTACCAGCATCATATTCTTACTGTTGACAAAATTCTCTTTGCACCAGTCCTAAATGGGAGAAAAAGAGATGTCAAAATCCTCATTTCTCTATAGAAAACAAAAACAAAAACACAAACTATACATGTATATAAAAACTGTTCTGAGGATGCTCTGTCTCTTGAAGAATTGACAATATAGTTTAGAATACCTGAGAAACTACTTTATATATGAACTTGGCTAAAACTGAATTCAACTATAAGTTGAGAAGGATGGTAGAAACGGAAACTGTTTTACTTCAAAAGTAGAGAGACATGCCAGCCTGATAAAGCTGAGCTATAGCAGGTCTACTCTTAAGTCCCAGCACTAGAAAAATTCCTTCTTCATTTGCATAAGGATGATTATTTAGGGCTAAAAGTAGAAAGCTGAGAAAAAAAGTGTAGAAAATGCTGATATTTATGGAAAACTGTTTGGATGAATATGAAATATAAAAAAATATTTTATTTATTTTTTT